ATAATTATGCCAGCAAATTCCACTTCTTCACGGTTCCGAAAGCATTGTTAAATGAGTGGAAAGAAGCCACAAGATCTGAAAAATTGCGGGTAGGTAGAGCTGTATACGAAAAACATTTTTTATGTGAACAAATTCAGTGGAAACGTGAACATGTGAATCCTGATGAAGTAGTGTTTTGAGTGGTAAGTATCAGTAATGCTTCATTAATATTCTTTCATCATGTATAAGTAATGATTCATAATTATTCGTTATTTGAAGACACAGTTGAAAATTCCACGTTTAAAGCCAGGTACAATCCCTTCAATTTTTCCGTGGAATTCAATAAGTGGATGGGACAACCAAAGCCATGAATCACCCTCGTTACTGGCCTCCGAACCTTTGCAGAGGATCGTTTCCCTAGATGAAAGCTTTGGAGATGAATCCTCTACTACACACCTTTCCTCAACTCAGAATGTTACGTTATCAGTGCCTTACTTTCCTGATGATAACCCGGATATCATAAAACAATAATCTTTCGAGGATCTGCTAGCAGTAAATACTGCGTTACCTCCGAACTGGGTGAGAGGAGTTCCTAGATGTGGACATCTAGATATACTCCATTTCTATACATTGAAAATGACTCTGAAGGAAGGATTTTTTAAAACAATACTTTGGAAGGAGATTATAATAACCAATGATTTAATGGCTCATGTATACGTACTTTCACAACGGTTGCAGAACAGTGGTTTTCTGAAAAATTTAGAGCGCATTCAAGACAAGGACAGCTTAGAAAAATTGATTGACACTGTTAACAAATTGAGTATTTGTCGGGGGTCCCGATTGCAATTTGAGCTGGAAGAAACTATGTGTGAAATTGTTCGCAAAGATGTTGGTGATATCTGGCGTCATAAGTCGTGCCGTTTACTGATTGATGATACAGGTAGCGATGCAGTTTGCTGTTGTTGTAAGCGTATAAAAAAACTGTCCGCCAAAAAATTCGACGCTCTCTTGGAAATCCGACAAAACGTATCCGCGTGATTGTATCATCAAAGAGAAGACTCATGATTTTAAAGATGAGAAGAAAACTTAATTCTTCAGTGAAATCCAATCGAGCCAAGTACAACAAGAGAGCGTTCACAAGTACCAAGAGTCAACTGCTTTGAAAGAAATAATCGCTGCATCTAAGAAAATGGGCGCAAAAGGAAGGAGGTATACGGAAGAGTGGATCTTGCTATGTCTGTTATTTCATATGCGGTCTCCAATCGGCTACAAATTCATTTATGATACCGAAATGCTCCCATTACCTCACGTTCGCACGATTCGACGATATTTATCGACCATTAAAGTCCATTGTGGTTTCGATGACAAATTTGTCGCAGTACTCAAAACAGTGCTTGCCAAAAAAAAAACAGACATAGACAAACATGGGATTATTCTGCTGGATGAAATACGCACACGTGAAAGTTTGGCAGTAAACTCTGAGAATCTTACTTATTCTGGTCTGGTGGATTTCGGTGAGGAGGCAGGAAAGCCTGCAAGTTTTAAGGAACTTGCTGATCACGGGTTGGTCATTATGTATCAACCCCTAGCATCTGGTGCTGCTCAGCCGATTGCAGTTTTTGCTGCAAAATCATCAGTGAAGGGAACAGTTCCTGCCCAGTTGATTGTTAAGGCCATTATTCTTTTGGAGCAAGTTGGAGCCAAAATTCACGGTGTTGTAACAGACGGCGCCAGTACTAACAAGAAATTCTGGTTCGATGTTGGAGTTTCCGGAATGAAAAATGAGGTCCAAAACTCCTTTCAACATCCTCTTGAGATGAGTAGGCGTATCTATGTCTTCTCAGCTACGCCACATCTGATAAAAACGATACGTAATCGTTTATATAACAAGGGAATCCTTTCGGTATGCTATACAAATAATTTTCTAGACTGTAAGGAATGATCTTTCATATTCTTTTTTTCTCAAGGTTGATGGCGAGAAACCATTGTTCGAAAGTGGGAACATTTCCGCTTTCTTCATAAAGCTGACAGAGAGTCCTGCGGCCTAGGTAAAAAGCTTGTATGTCCTCGACTTACGGTTAATCATTTAGATCTAAATAATAGTTCTACAATGAGAGTTGGCTTGGCAGTGCAGGTATGTTCACTGCCAATAACTGCCGTACATAATGATAATGAAATATCAATTATTGAAATTTTATTGATTAGGTATTCAGTAATTCTGTTGCCCACGGAATGGAAGTGTACAAGAGAAAAGTTGAGGAATTAAAAGACTCCGAAAGCACTGTCGACTTCTGTCGTTGGATCAACAGACCATTTGATGCACTGAATAGAACTGAGGATTTGAGCGGTGTGACTTTAGATAGCCTGGATTATAAGGTATTATTGAAGTGATTCAATGGTCATTTTATTAACAATCTCCTTGTGCATTCTCTAAATAATTCAGAACAGTCTCAAACGCTGAGATAATTGGGAGGCACTTGTTGAATCTGGAAAAATATCCCCCAATGGTTTTCTTACAAAACCAACTGCAGAGTGATTACGAGTTACTCTTCACTCCACCTTGGATTTAATCGAGTTTCTAATTAAACAGTGTGGATTTCCACATGTGCTTACTGAAAAAATGAACCAAGATCCTCTGGAGGTTTGTTTTAATTTACTCGAACTCAGTTTTCTTTTTCTTGCTCGTGAATGAAGTTCATTTACTTAATGTGGCTATGAACGTTTCTTCATTTTCAGAATGAACAAGGCTGAATGAGATAACAATTTGATCTACTCTTCATTGATAGAGCTCGTGCTCAAGACTGGACGCAGAAATTATGCATCTTTTATTCTTCTACAACAGGGTCATAGTTATCTCATTTCAGCCTTGCAACATTGACTCACATATTATCTTGAGTTGTACTGATTTTTTGCATGTTCTTTTCATTTTTTCCTATTTCCTAACTATAGAAATTTTTTGGCGCGGTTCGCCAAGCTGATGGAAATAATGATCACCCATCAACACCTAACTTTCTCCAGATCTATAAAATATTGTCCTCTTACAGTGTGTTGAAACCTCCTCCTCGAACAGCGAACTGTACTGTAATGAGACAGGATTTTGCAGAACCTCTCATTACCCTTGCCGAGCTCAAAGCGATTTATAAAAATCCAAGCGATGATAAATCTAATGCTATTAAAGCGAAACTTAACGAAATTGTTTTGCATGAGGACTGGAACTTCGAACAAATCTTTGACCACGATTACAGCCAACCTGAAATTACAGATTGCATGTCGTATTTGATGACAGCTGACATAATTAAATGTGTAATGACATGCATGATTTGTAAGAAAGCATTATTACACTCTAAAAAAAATATCCGATTCTCCCCGAAGCTCATTTTTCTGATGTACTAATGAGGGGTCCTTTAATTCATGCATGGGCAAAGTCGGATCCTCGGGAGCCGGGGCCATAAAACCCTATTAGACCCATTATTAGAAATACAATACCCCAATTGCGTGGAGCCCAGCGTAGTCAGGGTGGGAGTAGCAGCGTGTACCAAGTGGGGCGCAGTTAGACAGAGAGAGCACCACGCGCTTTCCTTTCAAATTTTATAAACCTTACCGCATAAAAATTCAAACAAATTTTCACCAATTCAACGTGGTAAATCCTCAGTTGTATCGGGGGTAATGATTCAAACATCATGGTGCCAGAAATTGATTTTTTCTTGGTTACCTTAATATTGAATAATTATTTTAGTAAAAATTGGAAAAAAATGAGATGTCAGTTCTTTAAAATTCAATCAAAATCCATTCTATTGGAACTGTATTAGATTTCTATAAAACCTGTACAAGTTTGTGATTGCAAAAAGCTGTTGAAAAGATTTTTTCATTTTTGTTAATACAAAATTTTGTTAATACAAGATTTCTTCCAATATGAATATTGAAAGAATAAATATATATATATGCCAAAAGACGGATTCGAGGACCGCAGACAAGTGACTCTTTTTCTGAGATATAACGACTCTCCGTGCTCTGATGAGAGAATATACGTTCGACATTTAGTTGACAGACGAATCAACAACTATATACATCAGTCGTCGAATTCATAGGTGAATACCAGACCTATCCTATTAGGATGCTTTCCAAGCCCCATGCATGCCGGGACCTCTTTTTTTTGGCGTGTTCCAACCCCGACTATTACCAGGACCAGTCGATTGAGGACATATTCCAGACCCATGAATTCCAGTCCCAACTAATTTCAGAACCAGTGATGCAAAGTATTGATCAGAACTCATAGATTCCATTCCCACCATATTATCGGACTAATTATTTATATCAACTTTCATTGGCATTATCAAAGCGTGTACATGAATGTTCATCGAGATTTTACTCATCTTCTGGTGCGAAATGATGGAAGCAAGAAGAGGAAATACGAAGGAGATTAAACAATACCCACCGAAATAGAAACGTTAATTATTTTTTTCGCACTTGGATCTAAAGAGAATCGTTTAGGAAGAGTATTAGCCCGTGGATATGAAAATTTTATAAATTAAATTCCCGTTTTGGGATGTGATCTTGTTTTCCCTACCACTGAACTGAACTTGGCATCATCGGCGCCAGAATTCATCAATGACTAATTAAGAGAGCTACGGTTGCCTCTTTTTTTTCATCTTTCGGATTATCATTTTTTTACGCCACTAGGCTCAATAAAATGCAATTCTAAACAAATAAAGTGAGGATAAATGCGTGGTTTCGGCGTCGAAAAGTGAAATTTTTTTCCCACGATAACCAATAAAGTATTTCCTGACACATGTGATTATAATCTTCTTTTTCGCTCGGATTATAAAGTCACATTTGCCAGAAAATAGTTCAATGTGCTAGCAGCGCAATCGACTATATAATAGAAAGTGACTTGGGAAATTGGGACACGATTATTCATAATCCGAACTGGTGACATCTACATTATGCAGGTGATTTATTGTATATCATACAAGTACAAATGAGCCCACAGACAATTTTCTCGATCTTTAATTTCAGACCCATTGAAGGACAAGATCCGTCAACTAACGTATTGTTCCGGAGCCATAAATTCCAGTCCCAAACACCTGAGTTAAATATTTTCTAAACTAAAAAAACTTCTGTTTCATCTGAATATTTTGAAAACTTTGTACTTTTGCGACATTCATATAAAACGCCGATACATTCAGAAAAAAGTGGAATTTGTCATGGAGATCACATCTAATTCAATCCACGAAAATTCCCAATATTTTAGCTTTCGAATGGAAGCTTCATATTGGTTCAAATGTAAGTTTCTGTTTTTGTTTTTCCTAATATCAACCTATCATGATCATGAATTCATGGAGATGAATGTTTGTTTCTTCACATGTAGAGATTTTTTTTAATAACATTTGTATTTGTTGAGTTGATTGTTGAGAGCACAAAAAATTATTTGTTAGTAAATGCTCGCAGCTTTACAGTGGAAATCAGCAAAAGAATATCCGTTTGGTATGAGTAATAAGCCCAAATAAATGTTGGAAACATTTATGCTGTATTTTATAAGCCAAAATACAAAAATTGATGGGAAAACGTTGTTTTTCGAGAAGCTGAGAGAATTCTCGACAAAATGACGAGCACAAGTTTTCCCGTTCTTCATAGTGACTTGTGATAAACATTGAAAAAATAAAGGTGGAGGCAATTTCTTTCATTCAAAATTAACAGCTTCGCCCTTATGGAGACGATGTATAACGTACAAGTACAGATGAGTTCCAGGACAAGTTTTTCGATGTTTAATTCCAGCCCCACTAGGGACCGCAGTCTATCCACTAATGTATCGTTCCAGGTCCAATAATTCCAGCCCTATAGAAAAATATATTTTATTGAAAAAAAAATTCAGAGAATTTCTGATCAAAAACAAGGATATGATTTTTTTTAACGTCTTTCAATGCCATCAATTCAAGCGTAAAATTTTGCGCCAATATCTTTCAAATTCGCGCAGTTTCGTTAAATGTGCGAGACCTCTATCGATCGGTAGATCTCTTCTATACATGAGCAGTACAAAGGAACAGGAGAAATTACCGAAAATTTGGAGGCTGGATTTGCAAACGATATTTGGTAGATTAGCACAAAAAACTTATCTTATATGTTATATCACATATTCTACATTCAAGATGAGTTCCAGGCCCCCGAGCCCAATATTGAATTCCAGCCCCGAAGTCGAAGTCATTTTCAATCTAAGAACTTACGATGATAGAGCGGTTATTTCCAGCTCCACATACAGAGAAGAAATTATTGGATTATATATTTATATAAAAAAAGTTCCTAAATTGAACAAAGCCTAATTCCTCACCTTAGAGATTCTGAAATGCAATTTTTTATAAATTTGGGAACTGGTACATTCACAAAAACGTAGAATATTGCATGGAGACCACATCATATTTGTTCTGGGGAATTTGCCACTTCTTCAAATGTGAGTTTCTCATTGTTTCTATAATATCTATCAATTATCATCCAAAATTCAAAACTTCAGGTGAGGTGAAAATCTTGCTGTAAATGATAACTGCAATCGTTTCCAGTTCCAATCTTTAGAAAGGGGAACACAATCTCTTTTGCAAAGCATTGGATCAAGGAAGGAATTTGAGGACGATTTCTCGTATATAAAAATAGCGATTTCGACCTTATGAACACGATATATAGCGTACAAGTACAGATGAATTCCATCACAATTTTTTCGATAATTAATTCCAGCCCCACTGGAGAGCACAGTCCATCTACTAATGTATGGTTCCAGACCCAATCAAGTGATCAATTCAAGCGAAAAATTTTGAGCGAATATCATTCAAATTCGCGCAGTTTCGTCAATTGCTCTTGACTTCGTTCGATGGGTTGATATTCATTTCTATACATGAGCAGTACAAAGAAACAAGAGAAATTATCGAAAATTTGGACGCTGGAGTTGCAACCGATATTTGGTAGATTAGCACAATAATATTATCGTATATGTTATATCACGTATTCTACACTCAAGATGAGTTCCAGGTCCACTAGTCGAATATTGAATTCCAGCCCCGGTCGAAGTCATGTTCAATCTGAAGACTTACGATCATAGACCGATTACTTCCGGCTCAACATACAGAGAAGCAATGATTGGGTTATATATTTAATTTTAAAAAGTTGCCAAAGTAAACCAACCCTAATTCCTCACCTTGCAGTTTATCAAATGCAGTTTTTTATAAATTTGGGAAGTGGTACATTTACAATAACGTGGAATATTGCATTGAGACCACATCCGATTTATTCTGGGGAAGTTCCCACTTCTTCAAATCTGCGTTTCTCATTGTTTCTATAATATCGATCAATTATGATCCAAAAACCAAAACTTCCCGAGAGGTGAAAATTTTGCTTTGAATGAAAATCCCAACCTTTTCCAGTTCTAAACGTTAGAAAGGGATGCACAATCACTTTTAGACAAGCATTAGATCAACGAAGAAATTCGAGGGCAGTTTCTCGTATATAAAAATATCGATTTCGACCTTATGGACACGATATATAACGTAAAACTACAGATGAGTTCCAGGACAATTTTTTGGATGTTCCATTCCTGCCTCATTGGAGGACATATTCAGTCAAATAACGTATTGTTCCAGACCCATAAATTCCAGGCCCATAGAAAAATAAATTCTATTGACATAGAAAATTCGAAAAATGTTTCAATATTTTTGAGGCATTATTCTACACTATCAATCACAGTGAACAATTTCGAGCACAAATCGTTCGAGCTTGCCTAACTCCGTTAATTGAGTGAATCTTCTTCTCTATACATAACGGATTCTCGGTTGACCCCGCAACCTATTTTTTTCAAGGTCTCACAAATATCGAAACATATCTGCACTATTATTCTTGTTCTTATTGCAAATACTCTCTATGCATTTTTTCTTATTTCTTCAAGCATTGGTAATCAAGAAAAAATTATTCGAAGAAGTTTCAGAAAAATAGATATCTGGGAAACTTGAACGCAGATAAAAAAGAGTACCTGGACGTAGAACATGTACAAAAAGATTCTTCTCCTGGAAAAAAGATTTGAGTCTTTTCCATTGAACACAATTGATTCCATGAACTCATGATCAACGGAGTCATGTGGAGAGGAAAGACATTGCTCAAAAGTAATCAAAATCTTGATCGACTACAATGATTTTTTTCCTGTTCTGTGATTGGCCCAGTTAATGCGAGCATAACTTTAAATAGCATTGTGCTCAAATTCCAAACAACCATTCAAGCATTTTCATCTGCTATAGAAATGTTTAGCTCATAGTCGACTCACTATTAAAAATCTCTAGCGAAGAAAGACCGCAGATGTAGCTGTACATATGAAGAAAGGTAATGTTGCAAGCCCATGAAAATGTACATATAAATGATATATGGTATTATACCAGCCTTTGGTTGTACATTCGATGTAGGAATATATATTATATAGTATATGTCCAGGTCCGGTCCTGGAATGAACCCATCCATGGAAATGATTGAATTCGACAACCGGGGCTGGAATTCAGCTTTAGGTCCGTAACATTTCCAGGACCGGCCTGGAACTCGCCGGTGGTCCTGGAACTAAACACAAAGTGCGTAGAATGTCCAGGAACACGTCTAAAGCTGTATATACATTCATACCAAAAATGGAGTTAAAAGTTCTTTTTATAGAAATGTCCCACAGAAAGCTCTGGCTTTGAGACGAATGTGATTTTTCCTTACATTTTAATCTATTTTTCTTATTTTTTGCCGATATATGAGCCAAAGAAGACAACTCTAAATGATTTTACCATGAAAGTTCTGCAAGGAAATTTCTCTCAGATAATTTGTATGAACGGATTCTTTTAACTCCATTTTTGGTATGAATCTATTTATTCTTTCAATATTCATATTGGAACAAATCTTGTATTAACAAAAATTAAAAAATCTTTTCAACAGTTTTTTTCAATTAATTTGCTGCCGAAATATCCAATTCAGAGTAATTTATTCAACGGAATTTTATGCAGAAGTTGATAGAGGGAAAATTGATTAATTGATATTTTTTAACAATGCAAAATGCAGCAAGAAAAATATGCATATTTTTCGTTCAAAAATTCAAAGTTTTGCGCGTTGACTGACGTAACGATTCCCCCACTCTAACCCAAGCATTGTGGTCTCGCCCCTCCAACTACCTGCACGGTACAATAGGACCCCTTATTTTATAGTCATTGGCCTAATTGAGGTTGGGAGCTAGGTGAGCCGATTGTGCGCACTTTGCTCATGCCTGCTTTAATTCATCCTAATTTATATCGCTTCGTTTTTTTCCTGCAAGAGAAATTTGCCATGCACTGTGAGTCAGCACATTTATATGAGGATATGCTTAATGAGATATTAAATTATCCCAACCGCTGTTTCCCCTGTGAAGACCATGGCACCGAAATTATTTATCAAATTATCACTCGTTTCATGACAACACGCATGCAGGATTTTTGCAATCGTTTCAATACAGAGCAAAAGAAACTTTACCAAGAAAGAAAAAAGATTGCAAAACTTTCGAAAACGTGATTATTTTACCAATAATGTATCAATTATGAAAATCTACATTTAATATATGCAATCGAAAAATTTATTAAACGTTTATTTCTATTTCCCAAATTATTTAACCATTACCCGACTTATTTTCATTTTCGATTTCGGCGCTGGGTCTGGCGAGCGAGACTCAAAGAGTGGTGGGCCGTCAGATGACTCTCCGCGCCATCTGTGATGGCTTCAATATGAGGGACACTGAAAAACCCGAGTAACAAGGGGCTGACCGACACTGACAGGGAGCGACTGTGCGATCAAGCGGGAATTTTTAATTTTTCATCACTCTGAAATGCTAATATCTCTCATTAACAATCACCATTAACCATTATTTTGTGTCCAGACGATATTTGCAGCAACTGTGAGGTGTTGACAAAATGAATTTAATTCTGATAAGAATCCGAAAGGCAGAAGATGAGAACAGAGCGTGGAAAGCCTTAGCAGTTAAAAAAGAGTTCACTGAGACTGACTGACTTCACGGATTATGAGGAGAAAACAGAAATTAAGACGAGTTCATTCTCGTTGAATACGGGGAAATTCTTCCCCCGTTTTAAGACTTAAGGTAACATTGTGAAGCTTGAACAGAGTATGTTCTCTCCAACCGTACTTGGTCCAGGTTAAGTTTCTCGTCTCCAGAGTTCCGTCTCTATATATTTGTATAATCAATTAGGGGTTGCAATGCGCTTGACCTTCTCTAGTGATTAAAATCGAAGTGTGATATATGAAGTTCGCACAATTTGTCGAAACTGAGAAGAACGGAGATCTAGATCGAATTCGGTCTTCTAGTATCTTCGCTCATTTTCCTGGAAATCCAAAAGCAGTCACACATGCACTGTCAAGAATTCGGATTAATCATTTCCAAATTTCTTCAGATTTTTTTTGCACAAAAAGTTTTCAAACTTCATAATCGCATAAATTTCTCCGGCAGTCTAATTAGAAAAGAAAATTGAAGAATTGTCGAACACGGTGTACCTGTGTTCTCATTCTTGCCATGGACACTGAGCAACGGGCAACACCGAATTAATGGAAGGGCAATTAATTTTATAGACGTTAACGTTTGTTACAAAGTCCGCATTCCGATTATTACGAAAGTGAGAATGCGTAGAAAAATATTAAACGATGAATACAAAAGAGGAAATATTTCGAATATTTGTCAACATGAAATTGTCAACATGAACACTATATAAAAATAGTGAATCAGTCCGACGATTGAAAACATAAAAACAAAAAAATTTTTGAGGAGCGATACACCGCAGCAACGATTCTACGATAGT